GATTTCTTTGTATGTATGGATCACTTGGGTAGTTACCGACATCTGGTGAAAATTTCATGTCATTAGCACCTCTAGTAATATATTTACTGAGAAAAATGGTGACGTGTTAAGTACTTATTTTACCTGCTGTAAATGTAAAGTCGTGATCAGCTTTAAAATTTTCTAATGAAGTCTTTGATTTTACAATATTTTATTTACCATTTGGCCCAACAATTATCGATAAACATACTGCATCTTGTTTAAAAATATAAACAACATGTATTGTATATTACAGCATGTAGAACATACAAACCTTGTAATGATTATTCCACAAGCTATCTTCTTCATAAAGGTAAAGTGGCATACAGATAAAAAAAAAGCACCCATCCTGGAACCTTCATCGCACCAAAGCAGCTATAGAGTATTAAAAGACCCGTTGATGTTATAGTTAACACTATTGTTTCTGTCCCACCCTAAAATAATACAATTAGTAACACATGGAAATGTAACACAACATTTGGCTATTCACCTCAAAACCGAACCAGAGAAACTTAAATATGACACCTTCATTTGGATACACTGAACACCAACAAAATTAATCATTTACAGATGAATGTCTTTGCAACATTTTGGTCACTTTTAAAATTTGTTAAAAATAAAAAATAAAAAATAAAAACTTCAGAGAATATTGATTTCACTGCAGGAACTGTATCAAAGGCTCTTCACATCATTTATCCAGGTTTCTACCTTTCTGGATGGTTCAAGCAATAATACTTGAAGTTGTCTGCAGTGACAGAACAGAAAAGTTTATATAAAATAAACATTACTACAGTTTATTCTGGCACAAATTGCCTATTGTTCTAGCTTTAAAGAGGTCTACTTGTTGGAAATAATCATAAATATTTCAGAACTGAAGTTAGGTCCTACAGTATTTACCAAAACATGTTAAAGTCAGGGTGATATTATGTGTTAGGGCTGACAGTGAAAACACAGCTTTAAACTCAGGCTATTACCATTTAGGATTTTGACCTCTTTAATGTGAAAGGACCTGGCAATAATATATAAAAACAATTTAATGAATTAATAAATGTCTAAGGCTGACGTAACAAGAACCTTTTCATAATTGAAATAAACCCAGTTGAGTGAAGAACACCTACCAGAGGTAGCATTACGGTATCTACAACAGGGGTTCTCAAACCTTTTTGGTCTAGGGACCCCTTAAAATGGCAAAAAACATTCCAGGGACCCCCTCATAAAACCCATGCTGTTTTAAAAGATAATTTGTCATTTCAACCCCTAAATGCCATGGGAATATATATTTTTTATTCAATTTATTATGTTTGTTTTATTAGTTCATTATTCTTCATGCAGTTTTTTGAAAATAAAAAACAAATAAATACTTTGGTGAAATTTTTTGAGGACCCCAAAGATACCTCTCACGGACCCCTGGGGGTCCTGGGACCCCAGTTTGAGAACCTCTGATCTACAACACTAAGTTTCTGTTGTATCATATAAAAAGTGTCCTTGTTAAAAGTCCCAGCTGTCCCCCTTCAAACTAAACAACGGCCTCAGTCACAACAATGTCAATGATAAAAGTATGAATCCCATCTTATTTCACACACTCTGATTTAGCTCTCATATTCTACTGCCAGCTTAGATGCAACAAATGATCATCTTCCACCCCCAATTCCACTGTTGTACTTCGTACACAATAATAATAAGCAATGAAGAAACCTGATTTTAAAAGTGTGAAAAATGAACTCAACTCCATTGTGAAGAGACGACTTCACAAGGTGTGAATCCTGTCCTACCACATGCTCAGATGGAAAATGACCTATAACAGCCTAGATTTTGAGAAGAACAAAAGGAAATATAAAAAAAATGACAGTATTGGTTGATGCCTTCTTTTAGCTGCACTTCAACTGTTAAACAAAAAGGTTTTATCAAGTCCAAAAGTGTCCTAATATGCCTGTGACCATGTGCTGTACACACAAACAAAAGAAACCCTTAACATTTCAACATTATTGAAAATAAACAGTACCATATTTATTCATGTATAATACGATCTCATGTATAATACGACCCCCCCCCCCCCCGTTTTTTTTGCTTAAGAAGTATAAAAAATTAATCCTCAAACTACCTCCAACTTCCTACAGACTTCAAGATTTTTCAGCCTTTGCAGTCTTTATGCATATCAGTAAAATGATCATTGGACTGTTCATTTTATTTTAACAACATATGTACTAAAAGGTRTTTTGACAACAAATACACTCACCGGCCACTTTATTAGGTACACCTGTCCAACTGCTCATTAACA